CAAGCAGTATAAGGATTGGGCAGAGAAAGAAAATCAGAAGGTTCTAGCAATTGTTAACAATGGAAATTTGAAGGTGATTAACTACGATCTAGTGTTATTTAGGAGATCAGTGAATGAGATGGTTGTAGTGAATGAGTTATCATTCTCATTTGTAGAGTCAGAAGGTTGGAAGAGATTTTTTTTCAACGTTTTGCATCTATACACGCCATTTTCTAGAAAGACTTGCAGTAAAGACGTTGTGGGGATCTATTTGGAAGAGAAGGCAGCTTTGAAAAGCTTGTTCATTGCTGAGAAACAAAGGGTATCTTTGACGACAAATATATGGACGTGTCCTACAACTTCTTACACTTACATGTGATCACAGCTCACTGGATCAGTACTGACTGGGAATTGCAAAAGAGAATCCTTAGCTTTAAGGTCATCACATATCACAAAGGAGACACGATTTTAGGCCACTTGATGGAGTGCTTAGATGATAGGGGAATTGAGAAGGTTTTTGCTATCACAGTTGATAATGCAAAGAACAATGACAAAGCTTTGGTTGCTTTTAGGGACCAGTTAAGGCAGAGAGGAGCAGAGTCACTAGTTAGTGATGGTGAATTCTTACATATACGATGTTGTGCACACATCCTCAATCTGATTGTTGGAGATGGTTCGAAGAAGTCATAGCATCTTGTTGTTGCTGTCAGAAATGATGTGAAGTATATCCGTTCATCCTTCAGTAGACTGCAATCTCTTGCATTGAGGTGTGACGCAAGGAAGTTGGCTAGAGGAAGTTTGCCCCTAAATTGTAACACACGCTGGAATTCAACATATTTGATGTTGAATTCAGCTTTGAAGTTGAGGGTTGCCTTTGAGAAGATGGAAGCTGAGGACAAGTTGTACTGTGATTACTTCTTGGAAGAAGATGAAAAAACCAAGATGAAACAAGGGTTGAATAAGTTTCTGAAAATATTTTACAAGTCTACATTGGTATTTTTGCTTCCAATTCAGTGACTTCCTCTTTGTGTTACAATAAGATTGTGGACACTGAAAGGGCTCTCATCAGCAAGTGTACCAGTGCCGAGGAGGATATCAGAAAGCAAGCTCATGTCATAAGGGACAAATTTGAGAAGTATTTGGATGGATTAAAAAAATGAATTCTCTACTCATTGTGGCCAGTGTATTTGATCCTCGCAACAAGATGTAGTTTGCTTCCCTTTGTTTTGAGAAGCTCTATGGTAAGGAAACCATAGGAAGTAGGCTCCTTAATGTTCTGGTTTCAAGTGTAATGAAGGAACTGTATGATCATTACAGTTACAGGCTGAGCCCACCAGTAGACCCTGAAGATCGGACAGATTCTCAGCCACAACATGGCTTGTTTGACTTATCAGATAATGAAGATGATTGTGAGGGAATCCTGTCCATATTTACTAAGGTGGTTGGTTTAAAAAGTAATGAAGTAGTGAAATTATGGTTTCTTAAAAAGAACTAAATGACTAGAAAATTTTCAAATATATAATTTTAGTATTACAGTCTTTTACAAACTCTATATATGTAGTAATTGGTAACTGTTTTGTAATAACTTTTGTATGAAAACTAGAACCGGACCCGCGCTACAGCGCGGGGGAAAATTATTGGCCTATTGTTAATAGGTTTAATTTACAAAGTGATACAAATGTATTTTAAGAATTGTTTTTCCTTACAAATATATTATTTTTATATTATGATTTTGCTATTTTCGTAACTAATTTTCTAATAAGTTTGTATTAAATATTATCCAAATACAGTAGCGAGAATGGTTAGTGCATGAAGCTGTATTAAATAAATGGAGTTGATTATGGTGAATCAAACATATTTATGTAGCGATATATGTTTTCAATGACCAATCTGTAACGTTTTGCATTCGTAAAAATATTATTATTTACTTGCTGTATTTTATAATTGTGAGTTTAAAAAATAAGTCGTGAATTACCTGTGATTTATATAGTTATCGGTAAAAATTATTCGTATTATAAATTCGATTTAATTAATATTTGAATAGTATATTTTGTTAATAATATTTTGCATGTACCATTGTTAATATTTGATTTAGTTCTGTTCTTTAAAACCCGTAAAATGAATATTATTGCATATAATTTATGTAATATTTGGTATTAAGTGGTGTGTATCATGTTCTGACCCGTTGCAAAAAATTTCTGACCCGTTTCAAATATTTTATTCTATAATTGTTCATATTTTTTATATTTTAAAGGTTTCAATATTCAGACCCGTTTCTAATATTTATTTTATAATTTTTCATATTTTTTATATTTTAAATGTTTCAATATTAAAATATTAAAAAGTTAGTGCTTAATATTTTTTTTTAAATGGTTACGTTGTAATTTGAGAAATTCTTTTAGTTGGACCCTATTATCATTATTCAGAAGATTTGAAAACATTTAATTAAGGATAGAATTTCCCCCTTTCACGCTTTGTGAATATTTTTCCTACATTTTTGATATTTGTTTGTTGCGATTGGAATCTGTAATACCAAAAACAAATAGTAAAAGAATCATATAAATAAAAATTGAATATGCCCGACATTAAATATTGTTACATGTTTTGAATATATGAAATTCCGTATCAATATGCTTATCATTCATAGATTTATCCAGACCCATTAAGTATCCAACTAGAATAGATCCAGTTTTAAAATTTCGGGTCAATTTCTTTAAATAACCCGACCCGAAATCTTATTTTGTACTTCTCTTTTACTAATATAGAGATAGAAAAAATATTCGTTCTTTTTCGTTTGTGTAAGACATTTAACTATGTCGGACCGGCTCTGAATAGCATTCATACATTTCCAGCTCTAGTGGTGATATCTAGTTCTATAGTACATTACACCATGCGGCAGACTCAAATGGTCATCTGTTCTGGATGACTCGAAGAGATCTCATCCCATAGTCTATATGATGGCACACATGACTTTTTGTTCGGAGAATAGTCTCAACAACTATTAAACAACGGCACATTCATTTTTGTGCTAATTTATTCTTACCCTTAACTTTTAAATCCGGACAAGAGTATAGATCATTGTAAACCTCAAACCCATATTGTGTTTCAAAAGACTCATGATCTCTTGCATTATACATATGAAAGTATCAAAGCTGACAAACGTAAAGAGTGGCTTTGCATTTATGTCATTGTCAACTTTATTAGTGTTTCGTATCCTTTGTAAGTTTATGATATATAGTATCAACTCAAGATTAGAACAAAAGAGATAAGGGATCGAAAAGGATATTAGAGATAATTTTTGGAGCACTACATAAAAGCTTTATGATAAAGAAATGTATGAATGAAGGCCTAACCAATTCAAATGTTTTGGTGGCACTGAAATTAAGTTTTTCTTTTCCCTTTTTTGATAAAGGCACACTCAAATTGAAGTTTATTTTAATAGACAGATGTATCCCACTTGCTAGCTCTTGGTGATTGCTATTACCCCAATCAGACTTTCCCTTTAGTTTACACTTTACATTATACATATAACATTTTTGTATTCATTTGGGTTTTAATTTTTATTTAGTTTATTTCAAGATAAAATAAAAAAAATCTTTCACACCGTATTTGTCAAGCCATGAAAAAAGTGGCTTTTCCCTACTTCATTTCCTATTGAGATATTTTGCACTTCCTTCACGCCAACAAACTCCAAACCCACTGATATTTTTCATTGGTTTCTATTTGAACTGTTTCACAAGAGAGTTAAATAATATAAGTACAGTTGGTCCAATGACCATTTTCTTAAAAAGACAGGTTAGAACTATATTGAAAACTACTCTTGTTTCTCCAAATATTACATATGTTTCCACATTATATTAGATATAAACAAAATGATTTGGTGTGATTAAATTTGAGAGAATAAATTTTAATTTTCTCTTTATTAAATGCGAATTGTCAAAAGTTTCCATTTTTCTTATAATCCTTTGAATTTACAATTTTTACATTTTCTGCCACTTAAAAAACTAAATTAATATTCGAGTTTTGTTTTTCATAAAATACATACATAATATCCTAAAAGAAAATGGAACCAAATCAACCCAAATATAATTTGTAATATTTTCTTTTAAAATATTAAAAATCTCAAATTTAAATATTTTAAGGAAAATAGCAAAATATATGAATGCCAATAAATTTGATTCTAAAATACTATGTAGTATCTTTCCTAATTTGTACACTGAATTAATATTAATAAGGAACAAAGAGGAAAAAAAAATCAAACTAGAGTTTTATATCACACTATAAATTTATTATTTATCTAAAATGTTAACTTAGGGTTTTGAAATGCTAGTTTATATTTTCACAAATGAAGTATGATTCACATGTTCTTGCCAAATAAATAAATAGTAAAAGTTATTTACATGTAGTCGTAAAAACTAAGATATTTTATTATATAAAAAATGTGTTTCATATCATTAATATTGTAAAACGATGGTGTTGACATTTTTTTTCTTTTTTTCTTTTTTTTTGCTTACAAGAAAGAAAAGTTAAATGCATCCGATTACGTATATCTCTATTTAGTAAATTTGATATCGTACAAATAACGCGTGAATAAAAAAGTAGCTGGCCAGTTGATTTTCTTACCATATCAATCAAACTTGTCTATTTGGTTTTGCTCAAAGTTTTAAACACTTCTAGTAAAATAATTTGCTACTTGTTTCTTTTTTTATTTAGATCGAATTTAATTTTAATAATTACGATATTTACATCATTAATATTGTTGCAAATCTTATACTACCATGTCAAGATGTTTTGACCTCCATCATTAAATAAAATATTAAATATACAAAGTATGTCTTTAATATATGTACTTATAATATACCTATAGTACAATTGAGTACTACTCATTATGCCAAAGAAAAAAAAAACAAAAGTAATCACTACATCAAATATTTAATCGAACAGATATTTTTCTGTTGTTTTGCGCCGATTTTAACTCTTATCATTGTAAGTTGTAATATAATTAGTGTAGAGCAAACAAATGAATATGTTTAGCAAATAACTTTTTTAATATAAATTTCATGTACAATTAAAAAAAAAAGAACAACTAATACCTATGTAACGCTTACACAAAAAGGCAATAAAAAGATGAAACAAAGGAACTAAACCAAATGTGACATAAAGAAGAAAAAGAATATTTATGATTTTACTCAACATGGACTTTGATCTCCATTGATCTGAGGAAGGTTCGGAGCAAGCTCGGCGCGGCAAAGAGGACAAATCGTGTGGTTAGATAGCCATGTATCAGCACACAACTGGTGAAAGCCATGTTTACAACCAGGAACCATACGAGCCGATTGAACACTCTCTATATCTTCTAGGCAAACCGCACACTCGGTCGACCTAGCCATTACGGCAAGCTCTTTTCCGGTAAGTTTTGGGATCTTTTCCAGCTCTAAAACCGTAAGGCCTTTACCGGTAACCGGCTTAACAGGTTCCGCGAATCGAAGACGTTCAATACGACGTCGTGTTGAACACCATAAAAGGAAGAGATAGATTAAGAAAATGATGCACATGCCTACACAAGGGAGGAGGAGGACCATGAAAACTGTAGATACCATGGACTGGCCGCCGCCTGATTCCGCGGCGGTTGGTGGCGGAGAAGGTACTAAAACTGGTGTCATGAGTGTGTGTAGTGCTTTTGGTTTTGGTTGTGAAAAAGCAAAAAAGAAAGAAAAAAAGTTATATTCCTCTGCTCATTGTTTTGTTGTTTGGCAGTGAAAATTTTGTGAAAAAGAGTAACGGCTATTTATATGGAGAGGAGAGGACACGGCAGAGGCAAATACAAGACTCTAGGTTAAGCTATTATTTATTTTTATTTTTGTACAAATCAGTTATTTTTAATTATTATGTTTTTTTGTTTGTTTTATATACACCAGGTTCTTTTGCCCCATTGAATTATTATATAACGTCAATTTTTAAATGGTAATGAAAACGATTTGATATATGGCTTCCACTATCAATATATATCCAAATTATATATATTTGAAATTTTATTGATCAAATTAAATTAGAAATAATAATATTATTTCATTACTAAACACAAATAGCTAATTTGATCGAACCTAATTCTTGAAAGAATGAAAGAAAAACTTAAAGCTATTTAGTAAATTAAAAGTATGTGAAAAAAAGTTTTTTTTTTCCTTTTTAAATCTTATGCTTAATTAATTCAACAAAAAAATATGAACACAGTTTGGCCAAAAACAAAGTATTTAAAGAGAAAAAAAACAGAGAAAAATATAAGAGGTTCAAAATGGGCAAAGTAGAACCGCTTAGTACTCTTTTGTTTTGTCAATCAAAAGATCAATTATGTGATTGAGCACGAGATAGCATATATAGACATATAGGATAAGGTTTTGTACTCTTATGTTATTGGCTGCCATATGTACGTGATGACATTGTTTAAGGTCACAACTCACAAACATTGTACATGGTGGGGAGTTATTTTTAAGTTAATAATTAATTTCGTAAAATAATAAAATGTAAGTTCACAATTATTGTGGAGAAATAAAAAGTGAGTTTTTCTTTTTGAATTGTATGAATCGAACATAGGGTTATGTATAGTTGTTGGATTCATAAAAAATTTCTACACCATTTTCATACAATTCATCAAGTGGAAAAGTATTTTTTTACGTAGGTTTTACTTTAACTTTTTTAGAATAATTTATTTGTATATAAGCTGTTTACATTACGAACATATATTGAAATATAGTAGTTAAAAAAACTAAAGAAATATGAGAAATTTTTAAAATTTTAGGGCGAAACAAAGATAGTTTATAAAAATCTATAATAACGACTAAATGAAATTTATGAAATCTTGAAAAATTGCTATAAAGGTTTTTTGTTTTATTTTGAAATATATAAACTTTTCAGTTATGCTTTTACTTTTTGTTAAAGAACTTTTTTATTGGTGTAAAATACGGAACTGAATCTATTTCTTTTTAAATAATGAGAGAGCAAAATAGAATCTCAGTCCACAAAGAAAATACAAGAAATAAAATAAAAATAAAGACCAAATAAATGCACCAATAAATCCTCAAACATAACAAATTTGCAGTTCTCCATAACAAATAGTCAAATAGAATCTCCCTTTTGTTTTAACAATGTATTTACGATTTTTGTTTAATTGTGAAAAAGCGTTGCTAATTATTAACTTAGTCCCTGATATTTTTCTTTATGCTATAGCTTTCACTTAAAAATAGTTGCAAAGATGATCAATATAATTGTTGCTCTATTTTTTGGCAACACTCACTATAACAAGAATTATTTTTGTTATAATTGACGTTTAATTTTTTTTCGTCGAATATAGAATATTATATAGTTGTAGCAATGTCATACCAGTCTTAATCTACTCGAATTTTCCAAAAAAAAAATTAGAAATTCAGTTTTCTTACAAGAAACATCCTTTATTATGGCCATTAGTGTTTTGTTAATGAAGACAAACTAAATTATATTATGTTTGCGGTCGTATGGCCATTTGTGTTTTGGACCGGTAAAATAGAATTTCAAAGCTAAGGTCGTTGAATTGCTTTTCCTACGACCGGTGAAATGGAATTTCAAAATTTTCATTACTTTATTTTTTTTCTTCTCCTACTTAGCCAAAAGTACTTTAGTTCGAGAACTATATAAAATAAATTGTAATCATGTTCTAGGGACTAGAGGCGAGGGAGAGAAGTCCAATCCATTTAAAAGTTATAAAAAAAAGATAGCACACTTGACGATCATGCGTTAAAGTTGTTTTTTCTTCTTTTTTTTTTTTTTTTATTTCAAAAACACCCCTTTTCATATACCTCTTTTTAAAAATACCCTCTTTTCAAACATTATCAAAAACCTCACTAAAAATATTGAAATTTATCCAAATATGTGTGTAAACTTATAAATATATACACAAATTATCTTTATATGTGTATAAAATTTTATATACCTTTCATAAATAGCGTAAAAATAAATTATAAAAACCTTATAAAAACCTTATAAAAACCGTATAAACCCTTTTAAAAACTTTTAAAAACCTTATAAAACTTATAAAAACGATTTAAAACTATTTAAAATATTTTAAAATATTTGTATCGAATCTCCCAGTAGTAGTTATTATATAGAAGTACCTTATAAACTATATAAAACTTTATAATTTTTTATATTTAAAAAGGGGTATTTTTGAAAATGGATAGATAAAGGGGGTATTTTTAAAAAGGGAAAAAGGGGTACACCAAAAGGGGTATTTCTCAAAAATTCACTTTTTTTTTCAACTTTTTTTCTTTTTTTCTTAAACAAAAATATATATCTCTTTATTATAAATTTGGAAATACATTTATAAAATAAACTTTATTAAGAGTAAATAATTATATTAGAATGCAAATACATAAATAGATTTTAAAAAAACAATTAGTAATATTTATTATGGATAAAATATTCAAGGGTGAGTTAAAAATCTATGCTATAATAACAGAAAAACAAAGAATGCATGCTCGATAACACAAAAATTAAATATCACTATTCCCCCTACTTGAAATTACATCAATGGCCTTATACAAACTTAATACTACATTTCGAAAATTTTAAAGCCTATACTATCTTGGGTTGTCAGTTTGGTTTTAATTAATGGCTTATGACTTGTTCAGGTGGCGCCGGCCTTGGGGAAGTAGAGCAAGAATTTTGGCCAAAAGGTAATGATGGGAAATGATACAGTAGAAGATAGGCTATTCTGCAGCTTATTTATTAGATGGGTAAGAGGGTTGCCTACACAACTTTGCTCAAACACAACTAACATCATTACTCGTTCTCACCATTAAAGCAAACGAAAGAGAAAAGTTACAGAGAAGAAAAAATCGGGTAAGTATTTATGTTTGACGGCGATTTATTATTCACTTCGTTAAGGAGTATTCAATGCTTTCTAGTTTAACCGGCGCTTTGGTTATAATCTAGATAACTTTTACATCACATAGCTAACTTATAACTTATATGTTTTTTTTCCAGAACTACCATGGCGTTAGTAGTGAGGATTGTCCGGGGAGAGTGGCGGCTGGACAAAGACGGAAATTATGAGCATGTTGCTGAATACGGCGGCTACTGTTTAGCTGTTCACGTGAGAGAACGGGATGACCAGACAACAGTGATCAAAGCGGTGCGTACAAGATTGTTACTTAACCCAGACGACAAAGTGGATCTTTCGTACCAGTGGCCGCAATGGATGATGGGCCCAGAGTGGAAACGGGCAGATCCTATCGAGATCAAAACAGAAGAAGAGATGGCCCTATTTATGGTGATAAGAGCAGACTTAGAGGAGACGTTCCTGCGATTAAAGGTTACACCATCGTCAGAGCGTGACGACGGCCACCGACTTGATCCACAACCCAGGCCTTTCAACACCCCAGGTCGGTCGTCGGCGGAGATTTCCGACCAATACTGGAACAGTGCCGAAACACAAGCAGTTTGGAGCAGTGTGGTAACTAAGATGTTACCGGGCAAAATCTCAGCTGATAACGAAATGGCCACTGACAAGGGCCCAGGCCCATACGGCCCATTACGAAACCCGGCTCCAGGAATAAGAATTAAAGAGCAGCCGCAGGAGACAACAAGAAATCTTTCGGCTACCCGTGTTTCCCCAATGTCGAGAATGAATCAATCAACCGACCGGCCATGGTGGCGGAGAAGGGTAAATAGAAGATGCGGTTTGACGACATCGTCACAGATGAAGATTACCAAATCATCAAAAAGCAATACCAAGCGGAGATGTGGAAGGAAGTTTGTGCGACTCAGATAAGCCTGGGAATAGGCCAGACGGGTGGTGATGAGTACGAAATCAAGAGGGCTTTGGATTTTGGCAGTGGTGAAAACAGCAGCAGGATATACCTGAATCTGGGTGCAATAATTGCGGAGAGTAGCCAAAACGTCATCACGGTCTCATCAAGCGATTCGGCTTTGGTTCCGCCAACTACTCCGTCTTCCATTTTTTCATTCTCAATGGACGACCTTACTTCGGATGTAGACGAAGATGATATCATGGGAAGATAACTAATTTTTTATTTAGCTAATTAGTATTTTAACTGCATTATAGCCTATATGCTAATGCCCTCTGATTTTGCAGAAGATAGCTTGATTGCTCATTACTACTCAGAGTCAAATGGGGCAATGTGTGAACTCTGGAGCAAGCTACAGAACCAGCTGGATTAGGGGATAAAGGGAAGAGTATCATGATAGAACCAGAAGTAGTGGAGGTTACACCGGTAACACGAACGCTATCGGCTAGAACACCTATTATCGCTGAAGCTCGAGAGAGGGTCCCTAATGCACCAGTTCCGACGGTCCTGTACGACATGGATGCGCCACCATATTTTGACGACCCAGGCGAGGAAGGTATATACCTAAATAACAGTGTTTTTAAACATAACGTAACTTGTGTCGTTATCAAACATAACTTGAAGCTTAGCTAGATAATTACACGGTTATCGGGATAAGGGATTGCGTAAAAACTAAAAAAGTAATTATGGGATAAACTTTAAATTATTGTTGCTTCTGGCTTTGTAAAGTTAGTGCACTTACCCTAAAATAATGTTTATATTATCTTTTACAGATTTCCTACAGAGAGCACTGTGAGATGCGGACTACGAAGGAGATGATGTTTTTGTAGGAAGAATGTTCAAGGACAAAAAATATTGTACAACGAAGCTTGCCATCCATGCCATAAGGAGAAATTTCCATTTCATACTCGC